GTTAAGGATGGGGTCAAAGTGACACCAGGCCTTGACCGAGCCGCTGTTTCATGTTTGCCCTTGCCGTTACTTTATTATGTTAATAAAGTAGCCTTATTTTATCCAACCTTGGTTGTCTGGCTCTTTCTTCCGTCTGAAGGGGCAAGAGACATTCAGAGGTGATTTGCTGTTACCTGTCTCTGCATGGCAACCCTGGACAAGGGATTGTCTTCCATCCCAATACTAATGAGCGTTGACCCTGAGGAATTTCAGACAGGCTATATATTCCAGAAGAGGAATGGTTCCCAAATGGTTTCTGGTCTGTCATTTCAGACAGAACCATTTGAGAACCGGTTCCCTTCCAGAATACATTTGTCATTTCATACACAATCTCTTCTGTCCCATTTAGGAAACGGGGCTGAAGCGTTTTACCTGTCAACCGCTTCCAAGTACTCCTCAGTTTCCTCTCCCGGTTCCGATGCGCTTTTTCCCGCCATTTTTCGCCCGCACGGGCGATCTCTGGCTTTAAAAAAAAAAACACGTTTGCAGGGTATAACGGAATAGCATTATATCAATCCCATTGGAATGCATGGAGTGTTTTGTTATACTGCTATAGCGCTATAGTGCTCTAAAGCAAACGTTTAAAAAAAGCCGGAGATCGCCCGCACAGGCGAAAAACGGCGGGGGGAAAGCGGGAAAAAGCAGTGCAGTCTGAAATGGCAAACCGCTTCAGATCCCACTCTTTACCGGAAGAGGAAAGCCATGTGTGAAATGGCAGCCCTATACCGGTTCACTTCAAAACGGATCATTACCGGCTTGAAACCGGGTAAAACTGAAAAGGACCCCCTGTTTAGCTTCCAAAATCCAACAAGATTGAGTTAGACTGGGTTATCCAGGTCAGGGCAATAAGCACTACATGCTTTTATTTCTTCCTTTTTGACCTCTACCACTTTCAATGCCTTCTCAACTTACATTTTAATATGCTACATAAGCACACCTCCTATATGAGAAAATTTGATATGGTAATAGTGACACAGTCTTTTGTGGCATCAGAGAGAGTTTGGTGAGAAGTTGGGAGAGAGTTGATGAGAGATGGGTGGCCCTGTCTGATGAATTGAATGTTAAATATGTTGTCGAATGTTCTGGATAAGGTAGGTTCTCTGCCCCCAGCAACTCCCTAGGATTCAGTTTGACTTAATATGATAAGATGTGGTCCTTTCTCCCCTGCTGCCTTTTGTTTTGTGTTGCAAAAAGACTTGTTTGTTCTACTGCAAAACATGCAAGCAGGCTTCAGCACTAAGACTGTGATAGGAACAAAATAGAGGAAGCATAGCACCAATTATTTCACTGATTTATTAATTATCTGGACTAGTGCTATAATGTAAGTGTATGATGATTTCTTTGGGGAGTTGTTCTAGGGTTGCCACCTCTGGGTTGAGTAATACCTGGAGATTTCAGGGTGGAGCCTGGGGAGGATGAGGTTTGGAGACGGAGGGACCTCAGCAGGATATAATGCCATAAAGTCCTCCCTGCAAAGCAGCCATTTTCCCCCCAGGAGAATGGATCTTCGCTGTCTGGAGATCAATTGTAATAGCGGGAGGTCTCAAGGTGCTACCTGGAGGTTGGCAATATTAAGTTGTTTAGTAATCCTTTTCTTGATCTGGGAATTTTGGTAATACAGAAGTAAAAGTAGTTACCAAACTATGTATTCCATCAAAATGTTGAAGAGGTACACCCTGGAAGCAAAAAAACATTATGCACTTAAATTGGATCTACAAAATCCCTCTTTTATATTAATTCAATTTTTTTCTCTGTAACTTTTATTTCCTTAAAATTCAAATGCTAACTTTAGGATTTATGTCACTTGAAATGTGTCTGTGTCCTGTTTTAACAAGGCTAACACATAGAAGCAAGCCTTTATGTTTAATTGTATAAATGGATGTGGGTTTGCACATATAAAAGCATACAAAAGCAGTACAAAGAGAAAGATCTGCATCTGGCACCCCACAATGTTTTTTAATATATAGAATAAACATGTAGCTCATATTATTTCTGTGTCTAATTTATATGTCAGAGTATGTAGAAGAAGGTGTTAAACTGGAGTCTAGTATCAGGTTTCAACTAAAGAAATAGGTTGTTTGAACTATATGTTCTTTTTATATTATCTAAAATTTTAGAGGAATAAAAATACAGGAACTGAGTCCATCAAAATCTTAACAAGAATATGCCAACAAATCTGGGCAACAAAAGAACAAAATAAAACAATGGCCTTCAGACTAGAAACATTCTATCTATGTGCCAGTTCAGGAGAAAAGAACACAGCAACTATTGGACCATCACATCAATTTCCCATGCAAGCAAAGTATATAATGAACACTCTTACCATATATGGAATTAGAAATGTCAGATGTTCAAACTAGATTCAGAGAAGGAAGAGGCACTTGAGATCATACTGCAAATTTGCATCATTTACTGGACCACATGAGAGAATTTCAGAAGAAAATCATTTTGTATTTTATACACTACAGCACATCCTTCGACTATGTGGATCATGAAAAACTATAGAAAAGAGTGAGAGTCCAGTAGCACCTTAAAGACTAACAAAATTTGTGGCAGGGTATGAGCTTTTGTGAGTCACTGCTCGCTTCTTCAGATACAGCTAGGATGTGAGTCCATCTGCCCTGTATATTGCCCCCCCCCAGATGGAAGAAATAGTCAGACAACAAGGTTGGATGAAATAAGGCCACTTTATTAAATTATTAACTTTAAACCTAACGGCAAAGGACAACCATGAAAACAGCGGCACGGCCGGGCCTGGCGTCGCTTCGACTCCCATCCTCAAACCATAGGTAGGCAAGACACCGCTTCGACTCCCATCCTCAAACCATAGGTAGGCAAGACACCGCTTCGACTCCCATCCTCAAACCATAGGTAGGCAAGACACCGCTTCGACTCCCATCCTCAAACCATAGGTAGGCAAGACACCGGCGGCCCCCCAGGTTGGAGCCAACCATAAGTCGCTTGCAATCCCGGCCGAGCCAAGATTGGGATGCACCCTCAGGAGCCCTCAAGCACCACTGAATGGCCAGCACTGAATCTCCATCGTGACCATCCCCATAGGCGATCTGCAATCCTCACCCAGGCCGCACGGCTACAAGGTTGGTCGAGCAGACCCCTCTACCCACACCCGGGGTTATTAAGTGGTGCTTGCTGGCCCCTGAACTGTATTTTAATCTAATTCTGCCCTAACAAAGTGACGAACTAGCCCCTAGGCACCAACCCAGACCAATTCCTCAATCCACTGACCGCAGTGCAGGGTAGGCGAAAAAGACCCCATCTCAATAGCCAATGCGAGAATGGAACCAAAAAATTCCTACCCAGCTCCCCATGAAGCAGGGCAACCAGCCTATGCTTACACTACATACAGGGCGGGTGGGTGGACCGAGCACGAGGTGAGCTACTGACTGGGGAGAGAGCGGAGCAAGCCTATTAAGGCTGCCAGGCTCCACTCCCCCTATTGGAGCTGAGGCTCCACCGCAGCCTGCCTGACTACTCCTCCTCAAGAGGAGGCAAACGCGGCCCCCACGAGGCATGCTTGGGCTGTCTCGTGCGGGGCCGGATTGGAAAGATATATTCTAGCTGTATTTGAAGAAGCGAGCAGTGACTCACAAAAGCTCATACCCTGCTATAAAGTGATACTTTATTGCAATTCTTGGTTGATGACACACACATCCAGAGACATTGGAAATTTTATACCAGATTTTGAATTGAAGATTTTGTTGTGTGAGTGCAGTTACCATAAGTGTAGTTATCAATGGCCTGCTTTATAAACTTTCAGCAACTGCACAACATATGAGAAAGCAATTCCTGAATTTATATATTAACTTCTGAATGTGTGTCTTTTTGAAATAGTATATGTTATTGACCGCTGAGGAAGGCCCCTGAACCTGAAAGATGTATAGTCTTGTTGGTCATTTCATATATTTGTCAACTGTGAATATGAAACCATCAACTTTGTATGTGAAATTACTACAGATGATGTAAATCTCATGTTGATGTTCTATGTAGTCTGATGTTCAGACCTTATCCTTTTAATGGTGTACACCTTAATAAATACATATTTTGATATTTTATTTTAGATAGCTTGACCCATTATAGTTTGCTTTCTCCCTTTCCTTCGTTTGTAACATGTTCATTATCCTCATGTTGCCTATGGCTTGTTAGAGTGAGTTCGAGGCTGAGGTGATATTTGAATCAGAGATTTCCTAGCTCACTGTTCACATATTTATCAACTATGTTATCTTAGCCTAATTATACTTTTAAATTCATATCCAAATAGTAAAAACATATTTATGTTGTCTATATCCCTCCTTTCTTTTATCATGGAACTCAAAATGCTTTGCTTAGGATTTTTCAGGCCATTTCCTGTCCAAGCAAGAGTGTACCATCATATGCCCTGGCTTGCAAATGTTTATTCTAATTGAGGATTTTAGGTCAATAGGATCTTTTATGCTCCACAGGATAGTGCTGTCACATATCAAAAGTAGAATTATAATTATTGGGACCAAAGTTTGATAATACTGGCCTTAAGAGAGCAGTTCATCACTATTTATACTGTCATTTGTATTTTTTTACAGAAAGACAAGGAAGATCAGTGGCAAGAGAACAGGGTTCATGGTAATAAAGACCACATTATTCTCGAGCCATTACAGTGGACAGTGGGTTATGAAGTGCAAATTACTGCTGCCAACAGGCTGGGATATTCAGAACCAACAATATATGAGTTCACCATGCCACCAAAGCCTAATATTATAACAGGTAAGTTATTTCAAATATATTATCTTTCTTTGATCTTATTTAATATTAGTGTGGGTTCTGAGCTTGCCATAGTCTCGATGTATCCTCCAGAATAGGTCATTCTCATTCTTAGTTATAAGCTGTATTGTAAGAAGAACCATTAGCCTGTGAAATTTACTGTGAATTTTTGTCAAAAATTACTTCCAGCCATAGTGCAATGGATGTTTAGAGCTTCATTAGTTAAAGAATACTTTTGTCGTAGTCTGATAAAATTAAGTGTCACTTAGAAAGTATAATAGAGACTAAATTCTGCATGTGTTGCAAAAATCAGGTTTGAATTATAAGCTCTTTAGTCTATTTCCACATTTGGCTTGTATAATTTAATTACTACCTCTAATTGTTTCTTACATTGAAACAATAGTTAACAGTTTTCTGTCCAGACATATTGTGAAACACGAAGTAACTAATTCCATATAGTCATATTATGGCCACAGATAAAAGTTATGAAGTCCATACAGGTTCAGGAAGAACAATGTTTCAGGATGTGGACAGGTGGTCATTTCCCCAGAAAGCACTTTCCCGGGGGCATCTTCTGGAGTGGGGAAGGGGTAACTTGGATGTCGTAAATCTAATCCTCACCAAATGTGGAGGATAGGTAGAGGAGAGTCAGCCAGAAATTCCACTCAGGTTTGGTGTCTTGAACCTGCACACTTCTGAACCACCTGAACCTGCACCTGTCAAAGTACAGGCAGTTATGTTGACAGGTGCAGGTTCAGGAAGTTCAGGAGTGTATAGAATGGATCCTGTGCAAGCTAGAAACACCAAACTTGGAAGGCAGGTAGAGGAGAGTCATCCAGAGATCCCCTACAAAATAGAGACATCAAAGCAGCCGGGAATCTCCCCTGGATGCTCCTCTACATGCCCTCCAAGTTCCCACCTGTTGTTTTGAAGTTCAGTAAATGTTTAGATTGAGCAGAGACAGTCTGTCTGGAAATGTATCCATTCATAAACCAGCACAAACTTCCACAAACAGCTTGAAAGTTCAGGGAAAGTTCATGATCTGCCACAAATTTCACTTTGCAAACCATGAACCAGTCAAAATTTGTCATGAACTTTAGTTTGTGAGCTGGTTTGTGCCCATTCCTACTGTCCTTTGCCTAGGTACTCTGTGTATTCATGCATTTGTGGATTGCATACATGCCATCCATTGTTTCTAGAACTTTACACAGGACTGAATGTACTTATGTGCCTTCCTTTGACTAAGAATTTTCTGTTCTAATCATCATGTGCTGAAAAGCAGTATGACTCTTTCCTAAGCCCAAATAGCTCCACATACGATAGAATTATCTAAACTCCTGTAGTGAGGGAAAGTGTGTGTCCAGCAGCAGATGACCGCTGTGGCAACCAAAGTTTTAGATAACTGCAACCCTATTTTCTATTTTTCTCTCTGTCCATTTGGGAATCCAATCACTATTTTACTAAGACAAAGGCATAGGTGTGGTCATAAGTGATGATGACCATGTAAAGCAGAATTTCCTAAGGCTGTATCTGTCATTGCTGTTATGAGAAGACAAATGTGGAAGGCACAAATGGCATGGAAGGTCTGCACATTTCAAATATTAAAACAGCCTTGGCCTTCAATTGCAAAGGGCAGAATTGTAGCACAGTGAGATGGCATCAACCAATCATTGGACAGCCAGTCTCTCCATGGAGACTACTTGGAAGGCTTCCACATAGGACTAGAGAACTGCAAAAATCAAGAGCCTCCTTTGCCATAGGGCTGTAAAGAAGTTTGGAAAGATAACATTGTGGAATGAATGCAGGTCAGATACCACCTTTGGGTAGACTTCCATGGGTCTGATTAGACAATATGTTAAATTGCATTTAACATGTGACTGAACACTCACATCTAAAACAATTTGTGTGTGGGGTGTGTGTGCAAATCACCTCCCAAGTATGATAGAGGCCAAAGGGGCTTCATTATCCCCTCTCTTCCACCCTGCGTGCTTTCACTAGCAGAAAAAGGACATGTGGGTAGGCTTCAAATGTACTCAATAATCGAGATTCCGAACCCAGGAAAACCATCTTAGTAATAATTATTGTATTCCATGAATATAGATAATGAATGAATGAAAACGGGTGTGTGTGCAAATCACCTCCCAAGTATGATAGAGGCCAAAGGGGCTTCATTATCCCCTCTCTTCCACCCTGCGTGCTTTCACTAGCAGAAAAAGGACATGGGGGTAGGCTATTGTCTTACTGCCTTTGGCCTGTGCCTTCAAATGTACTCAATAATCGAGATTCAGAACCCAGGAAAACCGTCTTAGTAATAATTATTGTATTCCATGAATATAGATAATGAATGAATGAATGAAAAAAATTAATAAAAGTTTGATCATTTCACTTTGTTCATCTTTGAGTTTCCAGTGACGTCCTGTTTGCCTAGCATCAAATTCTTTCAGTCATCATCTTTGTAAAACCTTCCCACTTAACAAATAATTATCTACAATTTCTACAGAGGAAAAGTATGCTGTACATCACTCTGAAGTGAGTCTTTACCACACATTTCCCTAAATCCCTTTTATTCCCCCACTCTTTAGCGAGACTCCAAGTCTTGCAGGAGGTTTCAGTTTTCTTGTAGGACAATCTACCAGCTCTTCAATGGAATCTGTATGGTCCTGTGATAGATGGTCCATCTGTTTTCAATCTTGTTCTTTTATTTAAAAAGTTGGATAAGAATGAGATTCTGCTTTTTCTTGTTGAAGTTTGAGATTGTTGTAGGACTAACTGTAGATCCTGTTGTGTTCATATTCCAGACAATGTAGTCCTTCAAACAAAACCTGATATTCTAAGGGAATGTCTTTTGTCTCACATCTCTCTGATTTCAAGAACTATTCTGATCTGAATGAGTGGGGTTTTTTTTAAGCATTTATGCCCAAATTAAAATCTTTTTCTTGAGTGCTACTAAGAATTGTAGAGTGTATCTGTATATATATCTAGGTAGATTGCTTCTGATAGTGGGGTACCACAGGGATCAGTACTTGGTCCACTGCTTTTTAACTTGTTCATTAATGATTTGGAGTTGGGAGTAAGCAGTGAAGTGGCTAAATTTGCGGATGATACGAAGTTGTTCAGGGTGGTGAAAACCAGTGAGGATTGTGAGGCACTCCAAAGGGATCTGTCAAAGATGGGCAAGTGGGCGTCAACATGGCAAATGGGGTTCAATGTGGCCAAGTGCAAGGTGATGCACATTGGAGCCAAAAATCCTAAATATAAATACACATTGATGGGGTCTGAACTGGCAGAGACAGATCAAGAGAGAGATCTTGGAGTTGTAGTAGATAACTCACTGAAAATGTCAAGACAGTGTGTGACTGCAATAAAGAAGGCCAATGCTATGCTGGGGATTATTAGGAAGGGTATTGAAAACAGATCAGCCAATATAATAATGCCCCTATATAAATCAATGGTGCGACCTCATCTGGAATACTGTGTGCAATTCTGGTCACCACACCTTAAAAAGGATATTATAGCTTTGGAAAAAGTGCAGAAAAGAGCAACTCGAATGATAAAAGGGTTGGAACACTTTCCCTATGAGGAAAGGTTAAAGCGCTTAGGGCTCTTTAGCTTGGAGAAAAGACGACTGAGGGGTGACATGATCGAGGTTTATAAGATTATGCATGGGAAAGAGCAGGTAAAGAAAGAGGTACTTTTCTCCCTTTCTCACAATACAAGAACCCGTGGGCACTCCATGAAATTGCTGAGCGGTCGGGTTAGAACGGATAAAAGGAAGTACTTCTTCACCCAAAGAGTGATTAACACTTGGAATTCACTGCCACAGGAAGTGGTGGCAGCTACAAGCATGGACGGCTTCAAAAGGGAATTAGATAAGCATATGGAGCAGAGGTCCATCAGTGGCTATTAGCCACAAGTACTGTATAGGATTCTGCCCCTCAAGCCTGTCCAGGAATGAGAGGGAATCCTATATTTTTTCAATACATTTAACAACAACCCAGAGAGGTAGGCTACCCTCTCTGGATTCAGAACAATAAGCCACCAGAATCTCTCAGTATTCTATAATCCCCTCCAGCTCAGAGCAGAGATTCAGATCTCTCAGCTGGCATCTAGGGCTTAACGCATTAGCACGTCATTCCCAGAGATGTACACTTAATACTCATTGGTAGCATGTGGCCAGGTATGCACAGGAAATAGGCTTGGAATCCCAGCTACAACATAAAAGACCAGTTAGAAACAATAATAAGTTTTTATTCAGCACAGAGTATTACAATTAGACTATAGAAACAATAATAAGTTTTTATTCAGCACAGAGTATTACAATTAGACTATAAGGATTTCAAAACAAGAAAGGCTAGGGCTGTTTGCCTTAACTAAAGATGAATAATTCATAGTTACCACATTCAGGAGCTTCCAAGAGTTCAAGATTGTCCATTGTGATAATCCAGGTAATCCATTCCCTCCTTGCCCTCAATGTGCTCTAAGGCAATAAGCAATCCTTTGTCCTCCCACAGACAGCATGGCAGGACAGCATTTCAGGTGAACAGAACACAAGAGCAGAGAGAGAGAGAGCGCAGGAGCAGGTCTCTCCCATTGGGAATGACCAGTTATAGGGCCATTCCAGTCACAATCAGCTGTGGCCAGGCAGCCAACTGCGAGTGGGCAGGGGGGTGGCCAATTCCCAGTTTTCATGGGTACAAGTGGGGATAGGCTGGAAGTTTGGAAACCACACCTTCAGTCACATGGCCCCCAACTCCAGCTTCTCCATCGGCTACGTGAGCTTCTGGCATGCTGGCCTACCTTCCAGCATGGAAGTGTGAAGAATGTGTGGTTATATGGTAGGGTTATAAAGTTTCTCCAGCCAAATATTCAGGCCATATGGCTTCAACAGGAAATACAACACAGCCAGGGTATCAGCAAGACATCCCAGGGGAAGGCAGGGGCTTTTAGAAATCAATATTTCTATACACCATTATAAATGGCACCAGTACTGTTCTTATTTTTAA